ATAATAATGATTTGCAACAAGTTCTGAAAAATATTCTCTTCCCTATAAATGCTGTTTGAGACAGGCTATTTTCTTGCATGTGTATTAATGCATTTAATTGAAAACCCAAGGCAGCTGTTACCCTGCTATCCACTTTACTACAGCCATAAAAATAATGGATGTTCCACACGGAGCTGAATACAGATTAATGCCAAAGCTATTTACTAGTCCCTTTTCCCCTGATCATTTGAGAGACTAACCACAGATCTGAAAGGCCAGAAACGCAGGGGGGGAGCAATTGGGAGTGAGTTTAGCAGGGTACAAACAGCAGACATTGCCTTTCAGTCCAAAAAGGCAAGTTCCTTCGTTCCAGTCTTAAAAAATAATCCTGCCTGCCTTTTCCAAACCTGTCCACCTTTCGATTCAAACTGGGAAAGTTCCACACATCTGGCAATCAAACACAGCCAAAATAATTCCTGGGGCTGGAAGGAACCTACTGGAGGATCACAGCTCGTTTGCTGCTGCTCCAGCAACCATATCACACAGCCCCTCTTCATCAGGGTTACAATTCTGCCCTGAAATCAGCTTGGGTTTTGTCCCCACGCTCTTCCCTTGTGCTGTTCCATTTGCAGTGAGAAATCCTCCCCAGCCTGTGGCCACTCCCATCATTTTGGCAGTGCAGTTGGTTGGCTTGAAGATCTCCCCCCTCCAAGATTTCTGCCATCCTAACACACTTTCTTGGATGTGTTTGCTGTACCAAAAGATGCAGCATCTTCAGTTTGATCTTTAAAGGTTCTGGTGATCACCTTACTAAGCCTTTTCTTCCAAGTGTGCCTGATGTTTAAAGAGCAGGGGAAGCTCCACCACTGCCCTGGGTAGCAGCATTACCTCCCAGCTCCCTCCCTCCCTGTGATGCACACCAGAGTCATTTTTCCCCTGGTGGGTCACAGCCATTCAGTGAATGACTGGAGCATCAAGGTATTTCTCACCTTGCCTCTCCAGTTAAGAGCTTCCCTCAGTTATTTGTCCCCCAAGTGGTGACCTTTCATTCTAAACTATTAAAATCCTGGCAGTCACATTTGAAAGGCCATCTTGTTGGGCAACATTCCACTATTCTTTTTAGTCATGTCATCCTTCCCTGTGGGTGTCCTCAGCAATCTCTTTAACCTAAGCCTGTTATTTGTGCCATTTGTGTCTTCTTTTCCATTTTTTAAAAAAAAAGAAATCATCCCCAAGGTCAATTCTTGAAAAGTCTCCTGGTAAACTCCCCAGCCCAACAGTCTGACAATTAGCAAAGAGCTCAAGAGAAGAGCTGGTTCCCTCTAAGGCTGCCTTGGACCTCATGGACCAAACCACCAACCTGAGCTGAGTTTCAGGAATCTTTCCTTAGTTTTAATTCACTCCAGCCATAAAACTGCCATAAAATTGCACATTCAGTTGGTAGCACACAGGTCTCTATATTTGAACAGACAAGTGACATTAAAGCCACGTTCCCTTATCCTTGATATTGGAAGGTATTACCTATTTCTTTAGCAAATGAGAAAGCATTTGTACTGATGGCTTATTTATCTGGAGCTCCACCTCAATTCACAATGCTTCTGTTCCTGGAAAGAGGTCATACTTGTGATTTTACAACATTTATTCTGGTCAGAGTCGGTCCCTTCCTTTCCTGGTTCACTCTGTAGATGAGGAAAACACACCAGCCATGAAACAACAGGCAATTTTTGGTTTGTTAACACAGAAAGGACGAGGTCAACCTCCACTTCTGCAGTCCCACAGTTAGGATTGGTTCACTACCAAAATTGTACATGCTAATGACAAACATCCATTGGGTTGTTTGTACCTCAGTACTGCAGGTATTATCACCAACAGAGCCAACAAATTTATATTATCCTGTTTATCAGTTTCTGTATCTCATCATTAAAAATTCAACTCACCTGCAGATACCTCACAAAAAGCCTCACTGGTTTCAAAACATAAGCTCAGCAAATAAAATCACCTGTAAAAATAAATCAGCAAATAAAATCACCTGGAAACAAAACCCACGTGGTGAAAATAGGGGCTGTTTGGGAAGGATGTGGGAAGGGTTTTGAGAGAGATTTCAGTATTATGATGTGAATGCCTGGGAACCACGACTTGCAGTGGATTTCCCGTGTTTGCTTTCCCATTTCAGAGAGAGTTTATATGGATGAAGTACAAATTGGTGCCCTGGCTGTCAAGTGAAAGGATTACACAAATTGTTTTTAGGGCACCTGTGCCACAAGCACAACTTTTAATCTCCCTTTAAAAGCTTTTTTCCTTTAAACAAGGAGTTCTCCTCCCTGGCTGTTCACCATTCTGGGAAATTATTTCCCTATTAAAAGGACAAAGAAAAAAAGATTTGGGAGTACTTAATAAAACAATGCTTTTAGTAAGCAGCAACTTGGATTATTAGATATTGTCAGGTGTTGTGGTGCAATACGTTTCTCTAATTAGAGCTCATCTGAAATTCAAGTACCTTCTTTCTTTTATGGAGTTGATTAATGCAGTTCACGCTCAAAAGAAAAAAATAAATAATTATTCCTCCCAAAAGAAAACAGGAAAAAAACCAAGTCAACATAAACAAATTCAGTAATCGAAATTTTCAATATTAGGGTGAATTTATCTTCATTCTTTCTGCCTCCACGAGAAGTTCAGGCATGAAATGGTTAGAGAAGCACAACAGAAAAGCTTGGGGGATCACTGTTTGGAACCTTTAGGGTCAGACAAACCTGTTTTCTCTTCTCCCAAGAGAAACAAACTACAGTTCATTTCCAAGATAGAACACCAGGCTTCCAAAATTTCAAATACTGCAGCAAAATTAAGTTTATGACAGTTTGAAAATGTGGGAAGTGAGAGAGCCCCCCAGACTAATGATTCAGCTGCATTCTTCTGACAGAGCTGTGACATCCTAACTGTTTCAATTAAAAAAACCAAAAAAACCAAACTAAAGAGATGTTTTCTTTACATCCATGCTGCCTCAACCCTTTTGGTTGTCACTGAGAGCATCTCACACACGAAGCAGCTTTTCCTGAGGACAAAGCCTGCACTTCAGGCTGCCTCGTTCCGAATCAAAGCCTTCGACTTCCCAGGTCTGTAAATTTGTTTGTATTTTCATCAATTAAATCAGGGATCTTTTCTCTAAAAAGAGCAATATATCATTTTACTACAATACTCAGACTTTGGAAGAGATGCAGAATTCCAAGAGCTGTTGTCCCGAAAAACAATGTGTCAATTTGAAAAGCAGCAAAGTTCACACTAAAAAGAGGGAAGAAGAAAAAAATCTAACAAAATATTATAAATCAGGGTAATTTTAACATTAATGTTTCACTCTCAAATTCACAAAGAACAAGACTTTCAAAGCTTTGTATCGCATTTATCTCAAAAAAAGAGATGGAACAGACTAATTGTGAAGAAGATAATATACAGAAATAAGGATATAGGCATTATTCAAATCAAGGTGCAAATCTGAACAGCAGACAAGACTTTCCCACACAGACTGATTATTTTAATAGCTCTTTGAATAGCAGCTGTATGAATAGGGTTGCATAAAATCCAATTTATCCTGAGCATAATTTGGCACACTAAAGGTGCCACAAAAGAGACATCTGCAATTTGCAAAATTTGCTCCTTTAAAAGTGTAAAATATTCAGGGCCTGTCATATTTTTAAGATTATGAGCTCAGAACTTGATGAACACCAGACTTCATGAAATCCCCCTGTTGCATCTAAAGACTGCCAAAGTCTCTGCATGCAGATTGAAAGAGTAAAATTGCCACCACTATTTAAATCTGAAATGAACTCCACGAAGAGAGGCCACTGTGGCAAGAGGCAGACAGCTCTGGGCAGGGTTAGAGCTGCAGAGATTATTTTTATCTCACTCTTTTATCAGTTTAATGAGACAAATTGTCCCCCGAGGGAAAAACTGACTGAAAACCATGAATTTCTCAAAATAAAATGGATGGCCACAACCCCAGGGGTCATCTGCTACAGGCAACGTTTCATAACACAGCTCTCCCACGCTACTTTTTTATAAAGAAGGAGTTCTTAATTTCAATTTATTTCCTAATCAGTAACATGTTGGTTACCAACATCAGCGCACACAAACATTTCCACCAGATTTGGCTCTTACATAACTTGAAACCAGTGGGGAATTTCTGACATTTCCTTTTTTCCTTTCCACCTGGAAGTTTAAAGGATAAATGACAAGGCCCACAACACTCTGACCCTTCATGATGTTACAGTTAAAATAACCCTGTACAAGAGCTGAGTGTGCTCAACTGCAACAGAAGATTCAGACTTGCAGTTATCACACATGACAAAACATCACAAAATAAAACACCCTCAAGGCCCCAAAAGAGCACTGCATAAAATTTAACCACCTCCATCAAGTTTCTTTACTTTCAGGTTTGCCATTTTCTTGTAAAATGATGTAATTTTATTTCTCCTAATGAGATTAGCCCAAATTTTTCTATCTGTATTTCTATTTCTCTATATTTTCTATCCAATTTCTACATACAGAAATTGCTACCAACCACGCCTGTTTGAAGGTATATACAGATTTTCACCCCCCACTGGTGATGAGGTACCAGTATTGACACCTTGAACTTCTTAAATACACTAAAATATATGAGCTCCATCCCACTCATTAAAAAGGAATATCTGTATTATGTGAAAGCTTGTCCTGAGACCAGAGATACAAGAGCAAAACATTCCCAGCAGCATTTATAAAATTGGAGATTATCCCCACTCAAAGATCACTGGACAGTATTTACAAGACTTCATGCAATATTGCCTAATTAGAAAAAAAAATTCACTAATTATAACAGGTGCAAAAGACTGAGGGGAGTTTGGAAGCCTTTCCTAAATAAAAAGAATTTTTAATTCCTAATAAAAAGAAATTTTTTCTAATTTCTAATCCTAATAAAAAGGATTTTTTTCTCTCCATGATACTTCAGACTCTCACGGTTTGAGACCCAAAAGTAATCACTGACATGGAACGTGTAAAATTATTGGCATAGTCTTTATTTTAAAGAGATGTGAAAGACATTTTCCTCAGAAGAAAAGCAACAAGGAAGTGACTTAGAAAAAAACCCTTTTGTAATAATTATTATTTTATGCTCTTCTGCAAATATAAAAATACTAAAAATCTGTGACACTTTCCTGGGTCAGACCCCACATTCTTGTTTAATTTCATTTTCTATAATCTCTGATTTATTAGTAAAACAATTAGCAGTTAAATGCTCGTGTACAACATTAATTGGAAATCCTGACACCTAAAATCAGTTTAGCACATTTTTCAGGGTTTAGTCATGCATTGTCAACCAAATTACGAGTGGCTGTGACTTCACAACAATATCCTTTAGGTCTGACCACCTTCAACTTCTCCTGTGCTTCCACGTGGGAAAAAAAACCACAGCCAAGAGGGGAATTCCACAGGATTGCAAAAAATTATTTAGAATATGCAAAGCCCAATTAAGACTTAGTCACACACTGTGGTCTGCAGTGCCAACTCACAGACATCACTCAAATATATTGACAGGAAACAAAAATTAACGTTCATTTCTTCATCCACAGTTCCTGTTACAATAACATGGCATCTGAACAAAGCAGCAGCTGCCCAGTTTAAGCATTTCTACTCTCCTTACTCACCTCAGTAATATCCAAACAGAATGTCCTTTCCATTCCAAGATCTTAGCTCTTGTGTTTTAGAGGATTTTTATTTATTTTTTTTGCTGAATTTGCATTCTAAAGAAACAAGGCAACTTCTTCTTCCCACCTTTGTCTACAGCAATGTCCATGCCAAAACCCAGCAGTTTAACGAGACAAATTATCCCCCTGAGGATAAACTGAACATTTATTTCTCAAAGTAAAATGCATGGCCGAAACAGCAGGGGTTTTTCCACACCAACCTGTGCAAGAAAACCCCAGGCTTTAGGTTTTTCTCAGCTCTTTGTGTACATGAATGCATAGCAGTGGTTCTTCAGCAACTTTAGAAACCTCTCTGAAGGGATAAAATAACCCAAAGCTCCTTGCTGAGATCTAATGCTTTCCAGAATACGGATATCGAGGTGCGTGTACAATAAAAAATATATCATTTTAAGAAAACATCTGTATAAATAGATCACCTCACAGCGTGTCAATTAAACCCTTTAAACGTGCAGTCATCAAAACTGCGGGTTCACCTTCGTAGTTCCGATGGAAACCTCCCTTTGCAGGGCCACAGGGAGCCTGGGGTGAGAACACTTACAGGGAGCACCCCGAATTCCCCTCCATGGAGTCATTGATGTCTTTATTAATTTGTGAATTACTTTGCCCTCACTGCAGCCGGCCCTGCCTGGCGTCTCCCATCGCCCCCCACACGTCGAACACGAACTCGTCGGGGAAGGCGAAGTCCCCCAGGGTTTCGTCCAAGGCCACGGCGAACTCGTCGGGGTTCCCCTTGTCCCGCCCGGCTTCCACGATGGTGGCGGCTGAAAGGGAGACAAGATGGAATAACTTCCCTGGAGTGTGCTCTTTATACCCATTCTTCTGCTTGCTTGGCAGAGATTTAATTGTTAATTCACTGACCCTGGGGTTTAACGGTATTAAATTGTATTTAATTGAGCACTCACTGCTCAAGACGGGCCCAAAAACAAGGTTAAACACAACCCTTGTGTGGCAACGAGAGCCGTGCCAGGTCATCACCAACTTCACCAACTTTGATATGATGTAAAAACCTGATAAATTTCTATCAAAACCAGAAGATCAGAAAGCAAACTTGAGCGTTCTTCTCCTTTAAACAACGAAGGACAGATCTCAGCAAGTTAAAGTGGGCGAGATTTTCACAGAAAGACAAAAGGCACAGGGTTTAAACGTGGAAAACAACACACAGCCTGCATAATGGACCTGCATTTGAAAAGGAGTTCTGGTAAATGAGGCCAGAGAAAACACTTGAATGTTCAGGAAACCAGAATCCAAATGTGGCTCAACTGATGTGCTGTGTAGAGCACAAAGAAAGTGAAAATCTGGTTTGCTAAGTGTTGGACATAGTGTGTTTGCAACTGCCTGAAGGAGGTTGTGTTCTCAGGAAACTACGGTATGGCCTCAAGCAGATTTACTTCATTTTTCAACGTAATTTCATTTAATTTTTAATTAACTTGAGCTTATTTTTGTTAACAACAAAAAAAAAAAAAACCCAAACAAACCAAACCAAACAAACCCAACCCACAAAACAAAGCCACAACACCTCCAGGTAGTAAAGGGACTGAGGCATTTATTGTGGGCCACATGATTGTCCTGCTTGGATTTCCACACCGTTCCAAACTGAGGAGTAATTAATTTCAGTGCACGAGTTTGCTGCAGTTATTATTACCTCCAGCTCTGAAAACCAAATTTAACTTACAGTGCCCTAGAGGTGGGGAAGTCTTAATAAATTTATTGGATGTTATTTTGTTGGCCTGAAACAAAAGTGAAGTTCCTGGGACTCTTGATTCACACAAGTCTGGATGGGAAATGAGCATTAAACGGGGGGATTCTTGTTCCTGACAAGTGGAACACGAGGATCTGTCCTATCGACCCCATTCCGTGTTCCCTGACATCGTGGCATTGAGGAGGTACTTACAGAGGAGTAACCCTGCAGATAAGGAGGGGAAGGGTGTGAAACCTCCCAGATTTCAAGGAGGATATGAACTTACTCTGGGATAGACACTGGGAGAAAGCTGGAGAGAGAAGAGCTGTTCAAGGTGACACAAGACCGAACATGTCAAGATATAGTTCCACAAGACACTTAAAAAAGCTGCCATGAACAGAGTGAGCATCTAGGCAAGTGTTTAAGCAGAGAGTTGAAGAATTTAACCAATTTTAAGATAAACTGGTCAAGAGATATGAAAGAGCCTCAGAACTCAGCTGAAGAATCAGAACTGCCCAGTAATAAAGTGCCATTAACAGAAAGTGTTAATTCAAACAGTACTCCTTTAAGGCTGAGCTTCCCAAATAAAAACCACCAGAATCTAAAAACTAGCTTATACTTGAAAACCAAATCCACTGAGCACGGACGATCAGGACAACTCTCAACTTGGCCAAGAAAGAACCAGAACGTCACTGCTGAGCTGAGGCAGCCTCAGAGCAAAACGCCTTCAATCTGCACCGAGCAAACCACACCAACCAGCGCCACCAGGGCTGGCTGGACCTGCCGGGATTATCTGGGAACGCTGCCATCAGCAGATCCAGCCGATGGAATGTGGCGCGGTGCTGACCCCCAGCGCCGGCAGGGATGCTCTGCCAGGCACAGCTCCCATCTCCCGAGGGATGGGGACTGCCATCCTCCAGGATCTCAGGAATGCACTGCCAGGCACAGCTCCCATCTCCCGAGGGATGGGGACAAACATCCTCCAGGATCTCAGGGATGCTCTGCCAGGCACAGCTCCCATCTCCCCTCCTTTTCCCCCCACCTTGTAAGAGCTGCACAATCAGTGATTAACAGGGATATTATTCCAATAGAATACTTTTCCACACTCAAGAGAGCCCCCAGTTGTTTTCAGATTTTCTTATTTTTCTTTTTTTTTTTTTGTTATTGGAGTTCAGGCAATGTAAAAACCTGACAAATTTCTACATAAAACGTGGAAAGTTCAGCAATCTTAAAAGCGATGAAAGGAATTAGAAGCCTTGGCGACTTTAACTGAGGAGCTCAACATCAGGTTTTCAGAACGTGAACAAAGTAGCAATGTTGGCTTTTTTAAAATAGTTCCTCCTTTAAAGTGGCTTCAAAGCCCTTTCACGAAATCTTAATTTTCTCTTTTAATAGACACAAGGGGCACAAGCCACGAAAGCCACCTGCTGCCTGCCATTCTTATTATCCACCTTACACAGCTTTTCTACCTCTGTCCTATACTGTAGATTCTTAACAGAAGCCTTAAATCCTCTGGAAAATGAAAGCCTGGTGATAGAAGGAGAAGAAAACAGAATATTCAGGGAGAATATCACTCCAGTTAAAGCATTTTGAGATTAAAAACATGCACTGGATATTGCTGGGTCGGATTTGGGAACCAAGAGAAGCAGCTTGAGGGACAGGAAGCCCTTTTTGCCATCATTTTTCCATCAGCAGCATTCTGGGGTTGGATCCCATTGATCCAGGCTTCCTCCCATACAGAATTTTTGGGATCAAATAGAGTCTATAACAGTTCAAGACTTACTGATTTATAAACTAAATGCCACCAGTATTTTTCACTAACACTCTTTTCCTGAGTTGCTCCTATTAATCAACAGTTCAAGTTCCTTTAACAGAAAGTAGATAATTTAAAATAACCTGAATTATCTCCCAATTGTACATTTATGTTTCAAAGAAGGTTGAAGTCAAGCCTTCACCCAGCTTCTACTGTGCCCATAAAATGGCTGAGGGACACATTTCCAGAGCCAACCGTCCCTTCTGTGGATTGAATCCAGTTTTCAGTAAAAAAAGAGTAAAGAAGTAAAAAGGTAAAAGTGCATCCCAACAGCAGGTATATAAATCTCAGCAGCATTTAAATCTCTGAAAGTAAAAACCTGTGCCAAAAATAAATAAAATTTTAAAAAGTGCATGCATTTCCGCTAATGATTTCCAAGCATTTTGCTGCAACTCAGGGATTTGTGTGTAGATTTAGTCAGACTTTTGAAACTATCACGATACTTAACTATGCAAAAATGAAGGGCTTTATCTCACCTTTAATTCTGTCTGTAATTTGACATTAGGGTTGCTTTTCCTTTCCAACTTACGGCTCGAAACTGGGGCTCTGTTTTAGGATTCAATCACACCATGGAAGTGTCATTTTAAGGGAGATGAAAGAGCAACATGAACTGCCATCCCAAGGATTCTGACAAACAGAACTGCATGGGAGTGAGCAGTGATTGAGATCTTAATCACTTGTCAGCTGCACATTGTGATGACTTGCATTTCCAACTAATCTGGCTCGAGTAATGAGGGAAATTTCTAGCTAAGTGGTGATTGGCACCCTCTGAATGAATCTTTCCCTCATATTTCATTTTCATGGGTGACTGATCACATCCAGCACACGAAAAACTGACACGTGTTAATTGAACAGATTTGTGACAGGTGATGAGCTCTCCTTTGCTGAAGAGTCCTGGAGCTGTTTAATTGTGGGTGTTTTTTAAATTCCAAAGTTTTGCCAGTCAACTCTCAGATTGGAACTTCGGGACGTGGCTTCAAAGGTGCAAACTGAAGCTACATGAGCCTTACAGTCTTTGATTCCTGACAGCTTTTCTTGCTCACACCACCTTGTGGGGAGGAAATGAAGAGGTGGAGGACAAAACAACCACCCAGTGGGGAAGAGGAGAGTCTCTCTGAGAACAAAGACCTCTCTTCCTTCTTTGAGTGTTCTGAAAGTTTCCAAACTGCTCACTGAAAGAGGAAGGGCACTGGATCTTTGTGGGGGAGAGAGAAAAAAGAAAAAAAAGAAAATCAAGGAATTCTTGGGAAAACTCTACCAGGTGCTTGGCAATCAGCTCAGCCATGTGTGTTGATAGCTGAACTTCCCAGTGTCCTGTGCAAGAGCCATCCTGAGAGCCAAAACCCCAGGGGACAGCAGTTCCCACAGCTGGTGATTCCTGCAGGGCAGGGAGCCTGGAGACCCTGGAAGGAAGCTGCAAGGACAGGATCCTCCAAAAACCCAACTGCAGCAGCTGCAGGACAAAAACAGCTCCCAGAGGGACAGCTGGGCCGAGACACAAAGGCTGCAGGAGAGGGACAGGACATGGAATCCTCCCTAACCTCAGCACAGGGATTCCAGGAGCACGTGACATATATATTAAAGCTGCTGGGAACAGAAGTTTGGACAACTTTTATCTTCTGGGAATAAGAAAGTTTGGATATTACTTAAAGAACAGAACTCACAAGTTTTGGGCAGCTCTGCCCTCTCTTCCAGGCCAGCAAGCTCACCTCTAGCTTGAACTGAAGAAAAATAGTGTTTTACCTACAATGTTTCCTGTGAGAAAACCAGTGGAACCTGCCAATCACATTCTTGCTGGCAGGAGCAGCCAACAAAGGACTTCTGGCTATTCAGACTCCTTTTGTTCTCATTCCTCTGCTGCCTTTCCAACCCTGCTTCCTTGCCCTTAGCTTCATGCCAGACCTATTTTCTCTTCTGCTTTGCCTTCTCCTCTCTCAGGAAAGCTTTCTTTTCAAGATCACTTCCCATTTAGCTCATCTTGTCTGATTTTTTTTATTTATTTTTAATTTTATTTTTTTTGTTAGGTATTCCCATGGCAATAAATCCCTTCCTCTTTCTCTCAGTACCAGCAGTTCCACAAGATCCCATGTTTTCCCACGTTCTTCAGGTTTTAGAGAATGTGATAAATTTGTGCAATTCCTCTGTCAGCTCCCTTGCTAAAGAGCTGCCCTTTCACTGATGAAGATCTCAGATTCCAACTTCAGCCAATTTTTGACTTTGGTCTGTCTAAGCCAAGGGGCAAAAAAAGCAAATAAAACTTCTCCTTAAGAATCCTTAAATGTGGCAGACACAAGATCCACTAGAAAACACGTGCCAGAAGGAACACAGCGTGACAGTTATGGCAAACAGCTAAAAAACTCAGGCAACAGCGTGGAGATAATGTGAGGAATAGAGGATTAATTAACTGCATCATAAGGATTGAAGTGGGAGGAAGATTCTTTTATCAGACACACACATTTGCAGTTTTTGAGACTGCATGCTGGACAAGTTTTGCCTCATTTACACCCAGAGATCAAAGCACTCAGTAAATTTTAGACTGCACTCAGAAAATGAGAAATTGCTTCATTTTGCAGTAATGTGTTTGCTAAAAACTCACCTAATTCGATGTCTCTTATCCCCATGTAGGCCTCGAGAAGCTCATCCACTTTTTTAATTGCTTTTTCTTCAACTTCAGTTGGCTTTGTGGAAACAAAGGGAAAGAGCAAAGGTATGATTATATCCATGCAGATTTCCAAGGAACCACCAATTTGTCAGTGACAATTTAGCCTTCCTCCCATCTTGGCCAGAATAGACTTAGAAAATCTACAAACAAAACAGGTTGTTCCACTCTCTTTCCCTCTTCTCATTAACCTGAGCCACACAGCTCACACTAAACATTCAAACTAAACATCTCCTGACAATCCAGATCTTCATCAAATCCTCATCAGGTTTAGAAGAACCCAGAACAAATAACATTTCTTCACCAAACTCTAATTCTGCTTTAACAAATATTCATGCCCATGCAATCAGCATCGAACAACAACCCTTACACTGGCCTCACACACTTTGCAGCGTCAGAAATGGCACCAATTCATCAACCACCCTCCCTTTTTCTTCCCCTGATCTACTCTACCTTCAATTCACCTGCGTAATCGATGGATTCCAAAACCTAAACACAGGTTTTCTGCTTCCAGGTTCCTCAGCCCCCTCCTATCCCAGCTTTCCAGCAGCATTTCTCCATGCAGAAGGCAGTCTTTGTCCCACCCAGGTTTTTCCTTCCCACCTTGGGGAAGGGTAAATCAAGCTGAACTCCTGAGGTCCCCAGGTACCCATACCATCTCCTCCAGAGTGGCACAGCCTTTGGTTCTCAGGCGAAGCGTTTCCCTCCCTCTGGAGATTTTGGCCTCTGGCAGAGCTCCACCTCTGGACCTCGGTTCCAGCTTTTCTAAAAAGGCAAGACAAGCAACAAAAATAACACAGTACCAAGCAGAACTAAGTATATGGGACACCAGAATACGATGCATTTGCTTTGGTTCTTACATTGTCTTCACTGCTTATTCGAATCGAGATCTAAAGTATGTAAAAATTCTAAGTTAATTGTATTCTAAGTGTAGCTTTGCTGACAGTTTCTTGTCCTCAAACTCTGACATCTGCTCAGCTGCACTGCTAGGACTTCCACTGACCAGTGTATCTAAGCAGGCCTGTGGCATTCACTTAAACACATGCACCTTGTATGATTTTATTTCCCTATTCTACAGAAAAGCGTGTTTGTTCCTTAATATTTGATAACAGCTGTAAATCCCCAGCCAACTGCTGATTTATTCTGCTTTTCACAGGGCAGGCTCAGCACTGCAACACTGCCACCTTTCACTGCTGCAGTGCTGCAAACACCCCCACAAAGCAGGTCGTGCTGGGACAACAATTTGATTGCCAGCAGTCCCACAGGTGGAACCAACAGCAATCCAGCACCTGCTTGTCCAGCAGGACCTGGAGCTTGTTCCTCATCTCCTCTGGGGCCACTCTCAGCAGCTGCAGCTTAAACACCACCTGGAATAAATTTGTGCCTCGAGCCCAACTGCACCTAAGGCTAGAGCAGGATGTCCTAACCTGCTGCAGCTTGCAGATTCATTTCTGTAGGGGGAAAAAGTGACATGCACCTTCCAAAAGTCTGCCCACAGAGCTCTGATTGCCTCTTAATTCAGTGTCAGATAAAAGGTATTGCCACGACATTAGCAGGTCTCCTTCTCTACAGGCAGACTAAAAGGTCTCTTAATCACCTGATTAAAGTAAATACTATTAAATAATGGCTGAAGTCATCAATCAAATGCTGATTCACCCCAGCCCTTACAAATAATGTAACACTTTCAGCACTGAACACAAATTACAGGCCCATATTAAAAAAGGGTATTGCTGCATTACTAATTGCAATAAATACATACAGTAATACTGCTTTAGCATAATGTGTAACACCCACATTTACTTAACAGGACTATCAACTGATATCCAAACATCTTGGAGGTCAACTCACAACCCTCATTCTTCACAGAAGCACCAGAAGCAGAAAGAAATCCCTGCATTTCTCACATTTTCAATTCCTGCTGCTATCCTGACACCAAGTGTCAAGACTGGTGTATGGCATTAGCTGTGAACTACTGACACACAAAAGAAGATTGGAAAAAGAAACATGTAAAACTTCTGCTGCTGAAGTGATGATGGTGAGTTTGAGCTTCCCGTTATTGCAGGTGTGCAAAAGGCCTCCTACAAATTTATGATTCAGCACTATTTTGAAACTCCTATTACAGGAAAATGCTACAAAATTTGAAGGGCTATAAAAAACTGAGATGGTAAAAATGATAACTCGGCCTCTGTTTTGATCCCCTGAGTAAAAGGAGTTTTGAGGATCAGCACATCAGTGAGGTAATCCATGCTTCAAAAATGCATCCATGACACGATTCCTGGACTTATTTTCCAACAAGAGACTGACACTAAACCCTCCCCAGGATGACTGCTGGAAAACCAAGGTGGAAGAAAATCCATTCATAAACGTTCCACTTCAAATTAAAAAAAGAAATACACACCTAAAAAACTAACGGAGCAGCTGTGGTACCTCCTTCTGAAAACAAACTTGCAGTGTTTACAGTGGGGGATTTTGCTCCCCAGTGAACAAGGTCACTCACCAAAGGCTTTCATGGGCTCTATCAGCTCCAGCTTGAAGAGCTGACCTTTCTGCAGATCCTTCAGCATCCTGGCGACCTCGTAATGCCGACAATCCGACACGTTCTTCCCATTGATGGTCTCTATGTGGTCACCCACGCAGACAGTTTTGGTTTGGTCCATCAGGCTGCCTTCTTTGATCCTCTAGCATTTAAAAAAAAAATAGAAGCAAAACAGAATTTAGGAACATTTCTTTCAAAGGTGACACCTTTTCAGAGGTGACACCACCAGAGCTTCAAGTACCTCAGTTAACAGCATCGACAGCACTGAGCTTGTTATTCCAGCAGTGTGTTTTGTCTGTCATAAAACGTGTTTTGAAAAGCATCCAAGTATTTTAGGAAGCACTGAATAAAAAAATTTAAAAAAATCAGCAGGAAAAAAAAAAAAGAATCAAGGGTTCTGAATAAGTTAATATTTTTTGTGCTTTAAAACTGAACACTAATGTCAACGTTTAATCAATTTTTGGGGGGGGTTATTTTGATTTAATAGATCGACAAGCATAGGAACAGAATTTTTCTCTTATCAAGTACGGTCCAGGGACATAAAATAGGTGTCTTATTTGGTAAAAATGACATCCTATAAAGGGCCAATCTTAATAAGATCCACCTCTGAGTGGTTAAACTAGCATTCTCCTCATCAAGCTGTATATCAAAGGAGTTCCTCTGAAATAATGAAGAGTAAGAAAATCTTCTAAATGCCACCTCATGGAAAATACACCCGGTCTAGAGGTCACAACAGAAGTCAGTATTTGTAAGTTTCATGAAGCGGAATTTAAAAACTGAGGGGGGGAAAAAAAATCTTTAAAATATCTCTGTGATTTATCACACTGAAAATGTCAGTGATTGCTTACTGTCCATGCTGCTGTATTTGTTCATCAGGTGCACACACCACACAGGCCACAGTTCTTTGGCTGTTCACCAGAGCAGCTGTGACGTGGCACAATATTTTACATTCAGCAGAGGTAGAAATTTCATTCTGGATTGTTCCTGAACGCCCATCTTTTCAGTAGAGCCTGGAGTTGTTCAGGCTGAGTGTGAGTGAGGTGACAGTGGGACAGAAGCAGATAAACAGTGTATTTTTGTTGCCACCTCCTGCAGGAACAGCCGTCCCCAAACCCGCTCCCGGTGCCCACACATGTGCCTCCATCTGAGAGGCAGTGGGAAGTGTGATGATGCTGCTGCCACCACACACACATGCCACAGTTTCAAGCTTCAGCCTGAGTTTAACTCTTCCCAGCCCTTTTTTCTTTAATTTAGATCAAGAGATCAAAACCAAGCAGGAGGCCGGTGGTGAATGGTGAGGTGGGTGTCGCACCCTCACCAGAAACCAGGTGCCAAATGCATTCACAAGGGTGCCCACCAGCCTTCAGTTAATGTTTAGTTTATGTGTTGAACTCCTGTTCATTTGGCTTCTTTTCTTTCCTTGGATCCCAACACCAAAGCTGTTCAAGCAATATTCCCGGGCTGTTATTTGTGTCCTACCAAACGTTTTTCCCCCACGACCAAGTTTTTATCATCGCTCCAAGTGACCTGAGACAGCAGAGCCACACTGTCACAGCAGTCAAGATGCAATTGCTAGGCCTGTATTTCAAGCTATGAGGATCAATATTTCCTATTTTGTTCTTGGCACGGCAAAACAACATCAGATTTCATAGGAAAAGCACCTGCAGCTCAGAGTGTCGGGTTTGAAAGTGGCTGGGTTATGGATCAAACCCAGAACTGAGTTATGGATCAAACCCAGAACTGAGTTATGGATCAAACCCAGAGCTGGGTTACGGATCAAACCCAGAACCGAGTTATGGATCAAACCCAGAGCCGGGTTATGGATCAAACCCAGAGCTGGGTTACGGATCAAACCCAGAGCTGGGTTATGGATCAAACCCAGAACCGGGTTACGGATCAAACCCAGAGCTGGGTTACGGATCAAACCCAGAGCTGGGTTATGGATCAAACCCAGAGCTGGGTTATGGATCAAACCCAGAGATGGTTTACGGATCAAACCCAGAACTGGGTTATGGATCAAACCCAGAGATGGTTTACGGATCAAACCCAGAACCGGGTTACAGATCAAACCCAGAGCTGGGTTATGGATCAAACCCAGAGCTGGGTTATGGATCAAACCCAGAGCTGGGTTATGGATCAAACCCAGAACTGGTCATGGATCAAACCCAGAACTGGGTTATGGATCAAACCCAGAACCGGGTTATGGATCACCCCTGTTGTTCAAAATGCAATAAAATCACTACAGCCCATAACAACTTCCAACAACCCCACCAATCAGTAAACTTAATATTCATTGTTAAGTAAGAATTGGTACTTAGTAAATTTTTAAGGAAAATATAGGTATACAAACAAAAACAATTCTATCAAACTTTAAAGTAGAGACTGCTTAGTCTCTGCTCAGTCATTTACCTAGGCAACCAAGAATGAAAAAGATGCAGCTTTTTTACTTTTGCATGTGTGTTTTCTATGCTGCTTTTAAAGATCCATTACCTAAATATGCACCAACAAGGCTCCTAGAAACTTCCTAAAATTGATGCATTCCCATGAAGATGACACCATTTTCATTACAGTGCTTACTATTAAACCAGTACGAGGAAAATCATATTTTTCAGAGAAGCTTTTACACCATTGACTGGACATTACAGCTCACCCTGCTAACGTGGGGAGGGTTTTCCAGCCTGCTCCAACTCTGCAGTGCTCTGGGTGATGGCTGTTGTCTCTCTGGGCTACCAACAAACTGATTTTTTAAAACAAGTCTTGTTTTATATCCATGGTAGCGAAGGAAGGAATAGAAAATACAGGCTCTCCACACAAGAAGCTCTGTTTACAACAGCAATGAGAACAGCAATTGGGATAGCAGTGATCGAAGGTAATTGCTAATGCCTCACTAATAGTGGATAATTGGAGTAGATCAGAGCAAAGAATCTGAAAAAGGCAGAAAATGTGATTAAGGTTGCTAACACCCAGCCTAGCAGGAAGGGTGGCATCATTTCCTCAGCCTCTACTTGTCTCAAAACATACTATCTGCAGGTCCTACAGCGGAGGGGAAGGGAAGCAATTATGATTAATATATGGTGCATGTTACTGCCCGTAGCTGCTACTCAGCTGTGGTAAATTGTGTTCATCCACATCCTTTTAGTTCACCCTACCTAAGGCAACAGCCCTGGGAAGCTGACAAAGCACTAAACTTGCCCCTGTTCTGGTGCAGCACAAAGGCTGTGCCCTGTGAGCAGTCAAAGGCTGGGAGAACATGATCTCATCATCACATGAGCCACAGAAGTTCTACAAGCACCTCATCAGTGACATCAGAAAATCACTTTAAAACAGGAGGGGGCAGATGCAAGCAGTATCTAACACCTACCACCTCAGGGGAGGCCGGGAAATAACAATGGTCACGTTGTAAAGCTGCTACACATCACAGAAGCAATGAATAAATGAACTCATTTTGAGTGACACGCTGCAGCAGAAATAGCTGAACCAATCTTGAATGATCTACCTAAAGAAAAGCAGCTTTATATTCTGTACTAACCATATTTATGATAATAAAAGATTTTGTAGTTCTGAAGGACAATTAAACCAATAATTAACCTTTTACAGTAACAAAGTATTTCAGTGGTAATTAGGCTCACCTTTATAAATGCACAGCCAGTCCCATTGTCTGTAATAGTAAGGCCCAGCAAATCCTCAGTTTTCAGAACTTCCACCTCTTTTCGCTGTCCCTTCACGTGGGCAAATATGAAATCTTCAAGGCCAATCTGGGCACCCAAGAGCTTGTCCATGTCGACTTTGTAAGTGTTCAAAGTGCAAAACATGATCTGTGCAGGAGGAAAAGGGCAAACACATTAACACACCAGCTCTGACACAGCACCCTGAGCCAAAGCAGAACAGATTGTACCAGAGGTGAGAGTGAGCAAAGCCAAGAGCCATCACCATCATTCACCCACCTGGGATTCCACAGGATTCAGAGGGACTACTTTGAAATATCATTGCTTAAAAGCAGTTTAATGGGGGGAAAAAAAGAGCTTATCAAAGCAAAACGGTCACGAGAGAGCATGAAATGTTTTGCATTGCTCCATGTGCTCCCCCATGAGCTCAGAGCACGTCATCTCCTACGGGTTTGCTTAGTTCCTACCCCTCCCTAGCATGAGCTGGGGACATCCCTGTCCCAGTTTAGTGAAAGCAAGGCTTAACAAAAAGGGGCAAATTTCTTCTTTATAATCAGTTTTTCTGAGGGATTTCCCTTCAGCACTGAGTACCAGGCACTTCTTTTTCTCCCTACATTTATGGTAGTTCTTCAACAGGAGAGGTTGGCTGTCCTGGGCATGGGCAGGATGAGAACAATCCAGTTGTACTGCTCGGGGCAGAGATGCTGATTTTGGCCACCATGGTGCTGCAGGAAGGAATTTGGTCAGTCCTGTGAGGCTCTGGGCTCTCTGCTCTTCCAGGCTGTCCTGAACAGCCCAGCCAAAACAGAAAACCCCAAACCCAGCATCCCCCCTCGCAGCTCTGGTAACTACACCCACCCAATGCCTCTGCAAGCTGGAGCGGGAGAGGAGGGAGGGCCCAGGGAGTCCACACAGCTCCTCCTGGGCAGCAGCCAAACCAGAGGAACTCTGTGCTCCAAGAGGAACTTGGGGAGTGCCCCCAAAGATCGTCTTTTCCATGAACTAGAAGCACAGGTGGCAAAGCCAGGGCAGCAAACCATCAGCCAAAGGCTCCGCTGCCAGCAACGTGCACAGGGATCTGACAGGACAACAGGGAAGGGCAGATACTTTTCCACTCCCTGTCTACATCTGCTGGATGTTGTTTTCCTTCAGAGTGCCCCTTGGAACCCCTGGAACCCCCGTGCCCGCTCCAGCTCCAAATTAGGAAGTAGAAAAAGCAGTGCCAGCACGTTAAAAGGAGGACACAGTGGGAAGCCAGCCTAGCACTCAAGAAAACCAGCAGCAGGATGTCACCCTGTGTCCTTCATCTGTGCTGCCACTCTGGTGGCAGTCCCAGGGGAGCAGTCAGCTGCCCAAAAACCCGGGCACAGAGCTGGGCCCGTGGCCAGCTCAACCCTGCTGTGCTCTGCTCTCCTGCCCTCCCAGCTTCCCTCACTATCCTTAGGAAAGATAAAGGTTTTCCACACCAGAACACTTCAAATGCCTCATCTTTCCTTCTGGCTGATATCCCTGGATATGACAGCAGAAGAATCGAAGTGAAGGTCACCCACCTGCTTAAATTGGTTCCAGGTCAAACGAGGGGTGGATACTTTTACTAATGTATTTATTTCACTGAGAGCATTTAAGTTTCTGGAGCTTTCTAGAACTTTGGTTCTATAACTGTGGGGGGTTTGGTTTTAAAAACTCAAAGTTTAGTAGAGAGATGATGTTTCTGGAGGGAGGTCCTGCTTAGTTGCTTTTACAAACAAAAAAAACCAAAAAACCCTACCAAACAGCCCTGCCTCAAGGGCTACCTGCCTATCTCACCTAATCCATCCACTGCAATCCAACACCTTATTTAACAATGAAAGTGGTAACAGCACACCCCTAACACACATTAGTTTTATTTGCTCAGCTAGTGCAATGTTCTTCCAGTTAAACAACACTCAAGCAGTAATAACACCTAGAGAAATTCACCTAGTTTTAAGCAGAAAGTTGCATTTTATTTTATAAATAGTGACAATCTCTAAGCATAAGCTTTAAAAAAAAAAAAAAATTCAGTTCAAACAGACAATATCAAGTTCACACACTCATTTTCTCTCTCTCTCTACGTAACTCTGCCAGTTTAAAAGAGCAACTCAGTTCTTTGTTCACTGTTCCTACAACGAACAACCAGCACCACCGTGTCTTTACATTTTTAGACATTAACACCCTTCATGTGACCTTGTCAAACAGACAATCCTCTAGTAAATACTGTCACACCTTTGAATAGATAAAATTGGCAGCGGGGCAGAAATGTGATATTTAGAAACTCGATCCAGAGCTGCTCTTTTTAGACTTTCATCTGGATGGCATTCCCACTACAGCCTATAAGTCTGCAGAATTTTCTGTGAGTCAGTTCTGTGCTAACCACAAGGCTGGGAGAGCATCAGCCGGTCAAAAATAACACTTAAATCATTCTCCATCCTCTTTAGTGAACAACTGCTTTTTCTTAGAACAAATATCTGCAGAGAGTAATGTACTAAAGATGTATCTACCCAGGATAATGCACCATTACACCATCTACCAGTTACAGCCCAGCTTTATTTGCACACAACCAAGACCTGTCGATTCAAAAATTATATTTTTGGTGGATTTTACCTAAGTTTAATATCAGTACCTAATAGCAGATTATATACTTAAATACTTAAACAGCAGCTTCCACTCCCTCAAATTTTGGTATATTTTAATAGTAATTTTCTTATCCGAAAGTGATGGGAGAAAAAAATTCAATGTGCAATTTTCACTGTTAAGTCTTTCCTCTCCTTACCCTAATATGCATTTGATCTTTAGCTCAGCATGCCAGTGCTGTGAGATTTCAGGCCAACTTTAGCAAGATGTTATAAATCAGAAGTGTTACATCAGTCCCAGAGTATCCAGGATAACCCAGGGTGAAGGAAGTATCTCATGCAGCCCACGGAACAAGGAAATTCCTCTCAGTGACAGGGGCTGGGGGCTTGTGCACGGCCTGATAAAACAGCTTTGTCACAGATAACATCACTAACAGAGCATTTTCAATTGGTACTTGGTATTCATCAGTATTTTCAACTAGGAGAGACCACATTAGCCAATAAAGCCAGTGTGTGTTATATAAAGGAACTGAATTAGCTAAGAGAGGGTTGCATGATGTGTTATATAAAGTGCACATGCAGCACCATCCTGCACATCCTATATATTTATTATGTTCTCATCTGCCACATCAAGCCTACACCTTGAGGTCTCAGATAACTTTACAGAGAGATCACAATCCCTTTCTCTGTTCAAGAGGCAGGGAAATGAGGGTTCTAATTCTGAGCAAGATGTAACACCCACTGACACCAACTCCTCCAGGTTCTGCTGTGCTTGTGGCACTACATCAGGTAGGCAACTTTGCCTCCCCAAATGCATTCAGAGTTTGATAAAATAAGCATTCAGTTTGTTGGGTTTTTTTCCAAACCCAGAGCACACGAATATTAGAGTTCTTCCATACAATTATTTCAATAAAAGTATTTGAAACTTGACACAGCGAGCATCACACCTAACACGGGTGTGACATTTAAGCACTGCTTGGGGAACCAGCAAGCAGGCAACTGCTGCCACAGGGCTGGGAGGGGGTGGTTTTTTGCAGGGAGTTGTTTGCTCCAGAAAGCATTCAATCTGTAGGCGAGGTTGTGAGCAGTTTGTTTCAGCAGATAAGCACATACAACAGAACTTCCAGCACCGCGGTGATGAGGATGAGGATTTCACAGGCTGACCCTTTCCTCTAAAACACAATTCAGATTTCTTTCTTGCTGCAAGGACAGTTTTGTTCAGAAACCCGAGTTTCTGTGGCTTGTTTGTCAGAAGTCTTCCACAAAAGTTCAAATCGAGCAGGTTTAAATCAAATACTTCTAAGGAAGTTATTGGAGGAGACAGAGGGAGCTGCATTTCTGCAGGGTTTCTCTTTTCCTGTATTCCCCTCGAGAAGCAAAATCCCTTCCACTGTGAAAGAAACCCCAAGCTCCACGGGACAGACACAGCCACTGAGCATTCAATCAGCTCCCCAGCCCCACCACACTCCACCTTTCCACGCACACAAACTCATCCCAAGTGCCAATTTACGAGCACGCAACCCGAAAATCCACAGAGCCTCCGTGGAGAACCCTTCCCCTCTCACCTGATGGAGAGACAGCCTGGCTACAGCTGGGCTTTAACAGCCACCTCCTCAGTGCCTGATTAGCTACTGTGAATGCTTTAAAGCCCTGCCATGTGCTCTCCCAGGAGCACACCACCACCACCAAATGCTCCAACATTGTCCTTCAGGCAGTGCTGGGCATTTATCACCCAGGCTGCACTTTCACCCTTACAGGGAACACATTCCCTGTTACATTTCCCAGCAGTCACAGTGGAGCAGTAATCCTAAATGGCCAAGACTACAGATAAATACTTCTTCCAACCACTTCTCCTACTTCATCCTCCACAGAAAAACCAGAGGGAGACGCTTTTATTACTCATGTAAACAAAAACATATGTGTCGTTAGTTAAGAATTGCATCTATAGATATATATTTTTTAGATGTTAGATCTTTAGATCTTGTTGAAAGCCTGTTGAAGCAATGAAATTAAAAGACAGGAACAACGTGTTCTACCTCAAACATAAGCACTCATGTTAATGATACAGGCAATCCATTGCTAGAAACCACATCCTCTCCTGCTCCTCCTCCCTGTGGAAAAGAACATTAACGCTGCACCAGGAAAAGAAGGAATGCTGGTCATAGTAAAAGTCAGAGAGGCAGGCAGAAGAGCAGGCTAAATATCAGATTCAAAAGGGGTAACTGAGATATATTCACCTAGGAAGGTGGATGAATAAATACCTAGACAAGAAAGATGAGTACAGGAAAAGCCTCAGAAAGCTGCTGTTACGTCTCACTCCTCCAGAGATACCCAGCAAACATCACAGGAGTGAAGGAGCAACCCCTTTAAAGCATCCCCTGTGTTGTCCTGTCCCCATCCCACCCTGCTCATGATCCAGGTCTGCACAGAAGTTCCTGTCATTGTCTGTGCAACAAAAACTGTGTTTATATAAACCTCTCTTGTCACTGTTGGCAGCCAATGACAGAACCTGGAAAGGATTCTCCAGCAGAAGCTGAACTCAGCTGCTCCCGTGAGATGGGATCCAAAGAGGGAATGAGTCATGCAAAGTCAAAGGAGAAGTGACAGATTGCAAGTGTAGCTCGTTCTCAATCGTGTTAAAACACCCTTGCCTACACTCCTCTAATCTCACATACGAGATTAAATATATTTACTTCTGCAAAAGTTCTCTGAATGCTCTCCACACCGAGTTCTTTCCCTCCCTTCCCCCCCCCCTATTTTCCACCTGGGTCACTCCGAGGTGGAGATCCCTGTGATAGTGCCTGTTTGCAAAGGCATTCGGGTATCACCCTGCCCACAGCTCCAGCACAGCCAGCTCCCACCACCTGTCCTGCACAGGGAACACCCACAAATGGCATTTGAGCACCCCAGTGTCTGTCAGTGTGAGGAGATGTCGCTTCTGGCGTTATTTTAACACCAGACTATCTGTCCAAAAGCAGCTTTTACTAACAGATAATACCACTTCAAATAAATTCAAATAAATTCTCATTTCCTGGCAGTTCTTGCTGTTCACTGCTCTATTTCATCTTGCCCGTCCAAAATTCTGTTGCAAGACCCTCTGGTCCAGGTTCTTCACTCTGCTGTGCCACTTTTACAACAGGAAGTATTTTTGATCGTGATTTTCATTTCATACAGCTCAGCTTCTTAAAGCCAACTGAGTTCATAAAGATTTAAAGTTCAGTGCTTCCAGCAATAACTCCATCCATTTCTACCAGAAACCACATTAAAACAAAACAAACCAAACAAACCAACCCCAACCAAAGACCCAAAAAGCAACACACAGGAATGGAACAGTGGAAAGGAAAAAGAAATAAGAAACTCCTCTAGTTGGGCTCAAGGCTGGCAATGCAAGCCCATGAAACGTGTGGTGCTTCCTCTAAAACCCTGGAGGGTGTCAGATTATACGTTTAGCAGGAGAAACAGGAGAGCACCATTCATACCAAATTAAGTTTCCTTGTGAACACTGTTCTTTCTCAAGCCAGTGGAGCCGAAATTTCAACGCTGAAAGGAGGGAAACCAAAATAAAAGACAATCTGGCAATTACAAGAAGCGGAGAGTAAAAGGTATGACTGAAACGGAGCAGGACAAAAGGGGACCAGCAGCTCAGTATGGAAAGCAAACAAAGCAGCAGCAGGTCAGAAAGCAGCTGGGAGGATCTGGCAGTGGCACTAGCACCTCTTAATTACTTAATGCAACAGCAGCTGGTTAAACTGAACTCGCTGCTATTGCCACTCTTCCTTTACAATGCACTGTTCCAAACGCTGCTGCCTCAGGCCACGGCAAACTCTCAGAGCTTCACAACTTTAAAAAAACGTCAGTAACAAAGCAGGGAACAAGTAAAGCTGTACAGACACACGTAGGCACAAAGAAAGGTCAGCACTTTGTTTCAGTTTCCCACTTAGAGGTCAAGGTTCACAGAACCACGTAGGAAGAACCTGACAGGGCCACTACCTTTTAACTAAGAGAAAACAATGCATTTACAAACACAAATGAATCATTATCCAAACAAATGTTTAGAATGTGGCTTAGGAAAATCAAATAAACAAAAAAGATCAAAAAGGCAGCAGGATTTTAAAAAAAAAAATCGAGTTTGTTACAGACTCAAATAACCTCACTTCAACAGCGAGGTTAAAAATAACCATCCGGATAAAGCAGAAGACTTTCCAACCACCACATTCAGCTGAAATTTTAAAAAATTTAGTGGGATTTAGGGCATTTGTACCACATCCCCTCCCCTCCCCTCCGGTTTGCCTTCATCCTGGGTATGTACCCTTGCCTTAAGCAGGGCGCAGCAGCGCCCACGAGCTGTGCCACGCAGGTTCACCGAGGATGTTTCGGTGTCTGTGTTTCCCCGGGTGGTGACGCTCGCTCGGAACAAGAAGGGGATGCTTTCCCCGCTCACCGCTCGGAACAAGAAGGGGATGCTTTCCCCGCCCACCGCTCGGAACAAGAAGGGGATGATTTCCCCGGCACAAAGCAGAGGCGGAGGGAGGTGCGGGCGGCCGTACCTGCTGGGGGTCGATGCCGAAGGCCTGGCCGATCCTGCCGTAGAGCTCTCGGGCGCTGCCGAAGCCCTCCACGCGGCCCGTGGGGCTGCCGTGCGCCAGCTGCGCGTGGAAATGCAGCCGCGTGGGGGCCGGGGCCGGGACCGCCGCGGGGGACGGGGATGGAGACGGAGCCTCGCTCTCCACCAGCTTGAAGGTCTCCTTGGACTTGTCCTTCTTCTTGCTCCACAGCCCCAGCAGCATTTTCAGCGCTCAGGCCGCGCCACCCGCGCCGGACTCTGCCCCCGGGACGGCACCGCCCCGGCCCGGCCCGGCCCGCGGCCATCGCGGCCGCCAGGTACGGCCCCGCCCCGCACGGCCCGCGGAGCCGCCCGGGCCACGGGAGAGCCCTCACAACCGAGCCCTCACAACCGAGCCCTCACAACCGAGCCCTCCCGGCCGGGCCAGGGCAGAGCCCTCACAACCGAGCCCTCCCGGCCGGGCCAGGGCAGAGCCCTCACAACCGAGCCCTCCCGGCCGGGCCAGGGCAGAGCCCTCACAACCGAGCCCTCCTGGCCGAGCCAGGGGAAGCCTCGGGCAGAGCCCTCACAACCGAGCCCTCCCCGCCCGGCCCCACAACATCCCCGGCCGCGGAGCCCGCCCAGGCTGAGCCCTCGGCCCGGGCAGCTCCGACCCTTTAGCCTCGGCCACAGCGGAGGAATCCACCACCTTCCCCCTCTCTAATTCAGGATAATTAGCGAAGTTAGGTGTTCGCCTAAAAGGAGACAGCTGTGCTCCGAACTGCGCTCACCTCAGTGGGATCGCGCTGTTTTCACTAGATCAGGAATTGGCCAAGTACTAAGTATTTACTAGTATTGACCAGGTTTACAGCCAGGATATAAAAGGAACCATGAAGTATACAAGGACTTCAGCCAACCTTTGCTTATTTATCACGACTGTAAGCGGAGTATCTGTGAATCTTTAAGGGTTAATAAAGCAAAGGTTAACAGGCAAAGTTTAAGAGCCTATTTCCAGCGTTGAAATACTGGTATTTAACACAGAAATATTTGAAAAGTGTAACACTTAACAGATTTGAAATGTTTCGTTTTCTACCATAGAATATTGTACAGTTGGATGTTCACCTTGAGGAGACAGCTGTGCTCCAACCTACACTCACCCTGCTTTCACTGGAGTGCTGAATCCACTCCAGATGTGAAGAGTGACATCCAGCTCCTCTGAAGGGATGTGCTAGGAAGCTGCAGAGCAGCAGCACTGCCTTACCACATCACCTGCCTTTCAGAATAAAAGACAAACCACTGCAGAAGGAAAAAAAAAGGATTCTGGCATGTGGAGTCAGACCAGGCAGGCACAGAGAATGAATGGCTGTGAGGAAACCCAGAGTCAAAGGTTCTGAGCAGATCTAATCAGAGCAGTACCTAGAACATACAAATTTAGCCTTGGGTTTGGAAAGGAAAAAAAAAAAAAGGGGAAAAGAAAAATATGGGTTTCATCCTTCTATCCAAGAATATTGCATACTACAGGTGTTCATTCTTCAGTTTCTCACTCCAAAACAAGGGAAATGAGAATCCTGGCATGCAAAAGCCATGAAGTTTGTGGAGAACGTGGCACCAACATTCACATTATTGGACATGAAACGCCACTATCAGAATATAAAGGGTGTTTCACTATATATGGTGTACCCATCTGGTATTTCAGGGCTGGGTGGGGTCTGGAGTTTTTTGAAGGTAAGGCAGCAGGGCTGTGAAGATGGTAATTTGCCCTCGATAAAGCAATCAGGCTTGACTAACAAACTTGTTGTTGTAGCTCCTCCCTGGGGGAAGGCAGTAATTCCAGGGAAACAAAACAGGCACGGGGCACTTATACCTTCTATGCCCAAGGGGATCAACAGCACTCTCTCTTTAAATAAGAGAACAATTAACTGGAGAAGCCTGAAGGAAACAAATAATGCCATCTAAAAGTCCATTGCTGAGCAATTTGACAAATGAAGAGTTGAGATTCTGTTCTTCACGAGGAGCTCAGTGTTGCTCCTTGCCCAGTTTGTGCCAACCAGCAAGAGACCTTCTGATGAACAGCCTGGTTCTACAGGATTTGTTCAGGAAGCACTACAGGAAGAACTGTTCAAGGCAGCTGCAAAGGAGGACTAGCACTTCCTGCCCACAAAGGAAAATCGACTCAATGCTATTTACACGTCCATGTATTTTTTAGGTCTAGCACCCGAATTCACACGCACAGAATTTCACCCTAAAGTTCTAGAAAACGTCACTGGTAGAGTAAAACCTGTTTTACCCCCAAAGGACATCACCAGTGAGTCAGTTCTCAGTTACCAGTGAGTCAGGCTAGCACAGAAGATGCACATGCTAGGAGGGAACAGGGTAAATTTGTTCAGCATGCCACGAGCAGGCTCCAACAAGCTCTCAGCACAGCTCCCGTGGCTCAGTGGGAGAGGGGAACCCCCATCCCCTGGGGGCATCACAAAGCCTGCTGTGCAGCAATCACAGCTCCACTGCCTGGCAAAAAGGAGAAAGGGTGGGAAGGGAGCTCTGCCCCCACTTTCCAACAGCTGGAGGTTCCCCTACAGATCCACGGTGGGGAGATTCAAAAAGGATCTGCAGAAGGAGAGGTTTTTCACAGACTTGCTGGATGAACTCCAAAGTAACTTTTACCTAAACAACCTTCAGGAGACCAAAAATCCTCCTCATCCCAACTTCATGAACGACCATTTTATTTCCATGTATTTCAGGAGTTACAAATATAGTAGGTGACTGAGTATTTGCTTCCTTCTCCCAAGTTGCCTTTATTAAATAATCAAATGGGTTTTAAAACATAGCTTTTAAGCACATTTTTGATTAGAAAAATATTTTTTTTTTTGTGAATCCTGGATTAGATAGATATTAATGCTTCCTCTCAGATTTGGAAGTAATTCTACATGCTGTTTTCTGAAATATATACTTTGTCAACTCTCCATAAGAAAAGAAATACAAGCATTTATTTCATACCAGTCCTAGAAGTTTTATACTTTGAGCTTGAAAACAGTTGGAAAAGTTTAGTTTGCTATACATATATATATATATAATCTATATACACCTCTAAATACACAAGATACTGCAATTCTTCAATGTAACACTACTCCCCTCGCCTGAAGATAGTTACAAAAAATAGTCCTAGTTGCTGTAACTTTTTTTTTTACAAGTTGGACTATCATTACAAGATCCTGGATTACAAAATGCTCGGTTCTATTAGCTCTTGAACTGACAAACAGGTATTTTAGGATGATATGCTTGTGAAGTCGTGTCGCCTGTAGCATTTGCCATCGTAACAAAACAGAAGAGAATGTTAAAAACCCAACTTTACACTTTTTACTTAAAAACCACGGTAAGAAATGCAATACGGAACACGCTGAAATGGAAATTTGGGGAACAAACAATATATAGTGTTGACAATATGCAGAAGCACTAAGCAGCAATTTTTTTTTTTTTTTTAATTTGTGATGATACTGCTCCAGCAATTGTTTAATCCCTGTAGGATTTAGAGCTACAACTGATACTGCAGTCAAAAAATTTGATTTGAACAATATCTCCCAGGAATTCTATTCCTCTGAGTAACAGAAATGGGATGCTTCTTGTGCTCGTTAAACAGTTATTGTAAATTAAATCCCAGCTTCCATCTGATTTACTCTCCCGCAGAGAATCACATCTGTAACACTGCTATTTCTTAGGCTACCTAAGACAGCAGGTAGCTTCTAAATTTCCACAGGCAAAAGGCTGACAGCAAATCTTACGTATTTTCTTATGAAAAAAACCAACAAAACAACAACAACAAAAACCCCTTTGAAAGTATTGTTAAAGCACTGTATTCTGGTTTTAAACTCAAGTAATAAAGCATGCCCACAAGGCATTTCTTTCCCCAATACCATGCCACAATCAAGGGAACCAGCCCTATTACTGTATTATAAAACTAGACTATTCCAGAGGGCTCTCCATCTCTCTCTGCATCTTTTAAACTCTAAAGACAACTAACTCATGTTTGGATTCAAAAAAAGACTCAGTTATGAAAGTTTATGGGCAACCCCTATCCCACTTTGTGTTTTAAGCAAACTTTCCTTAGGAACTGGGCTCTTCCTTCTTCTTCATGTGGGAGTACAATTTGGCCTCTGAAAATAACGAATGCTTAAGCTCAGCATGATCTCTGCCCACCTGCCCTAGCCAAATGCTTTCAGAGGGTCCTTTGTGCAGCTTTCCACTGCAGCACAGAGCTGCTCCCCAGGCCACTGTCACCAGTACCCCCCACCTTTGGGCCAGGCCTCCTCTGCAGAACGTGGCTCAGAGCGCTGGCTGGAGAAAAGTGCCAAGGCCAAGTTCACAGAACGGTTTAGGATGGCAGAAACCCCTTGGCATTAGGTAGTGCAGCACCCCTGCTCGTGCATGCCCAGCTGGAGCAGGCTGCCCAGGAACATCTCCACTCAGGCTTTGAGTATCTGCAGGGATGGCAACTCCTCACCATCCTCACAGCAGAAAGGTGTTCCCTTGTATTTCAGATGGAATCCCCCTGTCACTGAGAGCTACTGAGCAGAGCCTGGCTCCTCCACCTTCATCCTCTCACATCGGGTACCAAGATCTCCCCCAGGCTCAGAGCTCCAGCTCAGCCTCTCATGGATGATCCTTTGCTAGAGCCACTCCACCAAATTTGTATCTTCCAAGGGCTGGGGGGTCCAGTACTCGAGCTGTGTCCTCATCAGGGCTGCCAGAGATCATCTCCCTCCATCTGCTAGCAGAGCTCTGGCCTTTGTTGCCACAAGGCTGCAGTGCTGGCTCACAGTCAGTTTGTTGGTCAGCTGCATTCCCCTTCGCTGGACTTGGTGAGAATCCTCTGTCCAGCTCTCCAGCCTGCTGGGGTCCCTCAGAAAGGCAGTACATCAGCCACTCCTCCCACGTTTCATATGATTTGGAAACTCCATCCCGTAATTCAGGTGGTTAATGATGCTGAGTAGTCCTGGCCCCAGTCCTGAGTCACTGGGGACACCAGTACTGACTTGCCTCCATCTGCACTTTGTGCCCACTCATCTGGCCAGCTTTTAAATCCACCTCACTTTCCACTTCACCTGACCTGTACTTCATCAGCCTGCCTGCAGATGTAAAAGGCAAACACCACGGACTGTTCTCCTGACATCCCCAAAGCTCACTGGAGATGGCAATGAGACTGGTCAAGCAACATTTCCCCACTGTACAGCGGTGCTGAACGTTCCTGATCACCTGCTGGAAATGCATTCCAGGGGGATTTTTTCCATCACATTACCATGGTTTGAGGTGAAACTGATTAACTTCCTTCTTGTTCCTCTTGAAAAGTGATATTTTCTCTCTTACTGGAACATCTTTCCATCTCCATGACCAAAGATAAGTAAGAGTGGCCTTGCAGTGGCATTTCCCTCAACGCTTGGGTGCAACCTGTCAGCTCACAGACTTCCAGTTCCAGTGCACCCCAACTTGGTCCTGCACTGCCAGGGTTCCAGACTTGCCCTCTGGTCTCAGGGGCCTGGAATTCCACGTGCCCTGTGCTCACAGTGCAGTGCTGACATTTCTGGGACAACAGGGAGAATGCTTTCGTGGCACTGGGGGATTGGTTCAGGAGTCCAACCTGATTTTGCCAGCCTCTGCTTTGTGCAGTGGAAGGCAACAAACTCAAATGATCTCTTTCATGTTTTGCTCTTTTCAATATTTATATATCTGTGTATTTCTAGTACTATCTCCAACTTCTGTATAAATGTGTAATGTTATAGACAGGGTAAGGATATAAGAAATAAAGTACTTGGAGGCTCAAGTACTGTATCAGAAATATTGTAAAAAAATTACTGCATTTTATAGTAAGCAAAATAATGAATAAATTTTGCTGATTAGGAAGATGTAAAACAAAAGGAGTGGTTTTCCCTGTAAATTTTACTGCAGAATTTTCACCTGTATGACTTGTACTTGAACCCTTTTCTTCTCATGCAGCATTACAGTACTCCCCCCCACCCATCCCATAAAACAAAACAAAACAAAAAAAACAAAGATTCCACTAGTTGTTACAGATTGCACTTTTAAAAAGCACAGACTTGCCAGTCTTCTGCATTTCCAGTGTCCTATTTTTAATCTGTTGACAAACACAGTCCTGCACTTTACGAAACGGGAAGATTTCGCCTAAGCACTTCTTTTGAGGCTGGAGAAATGTTATCTGGGAAAACGACTTCAAACTCTATAATTAAGTCTCCACGTTGGTCGGGATTTTTGGGGAATGGCAAACCATATCCTATAATCCTCCTTCTCATGCCGGGCTTTACCACTTCGTTTACCGTCATGGGGATGGTTCTTCCTTCTATCGTCGGCACGTTGAACGAGCTGCCACACAAAGCCTAAACAAAGGTGGGAACATAAGAAATCGGTCAGTTTGGGGGTTTTTTGTACCTACAAATGAATCTGGATTATTTAGAAGTGACCAGGATTCTGAACAGTGTTTCTGCTGTGCACTACTGAGATGTCAAAATTCAAATTCCTCTGTTCAAAAGAGGAGGCTGCAATCTGCCGTTGAGCGTCACTGCATTTACAGACCTCACACAACGGCCACTGGAGGGTAACTGAGCTTCTGTGTCCTTCAAAGACCTTCTCAAATAATAAGGGAGCTGAGCAGAGTGAACTCCTCATACTTTTTAGAGATGTCAGTCCTCTAAGCTGCCATTGGAAATTACAGATTCCCGTTTCATTTTCTGTTTATTTACATTGCACAGGGGTTTCTTCTAATACACTATCAACCTGTATCCAATTGCACAAGGACATCTGAGTGTCTATAAGCAGAGGCACATCAAATTTCAGAGCTGTGTTCAGTGGATATTTGTGATATTCAAAGAAAAACTAACAATTATTCTGGTGCATTAAAACATTAGACCTCACCTCCTGCTTCATCCAACAGTTTGTTTTCACTACTAGGATCTCTGATAATGAGATTTGGATTCCTCCAGCTTCAGCACACTAAGTCTACACTGATAATGTCCAATTTACATAACAATGGAATGAGTCCAAGCAGGTTTTTCTCTCTGAAGAAACTGTATTACCCACGTTAACATTAAATAGTCTTTTCTCCCTCCCTCACACTACTTCAAGTGCTTCACCCCAGTTCACACTTATTTTAGTTCAGAATCATTTGTGTACATTAAGCTCCCTTCTCAAAGAGCTTATAATGCAAGCAAGAATTTACTGCTTAACCTGACACTAATTAGGAAGAAAAACTACATTACACACAGCCACATTATCTTTTAAATGATGATTATGTTGAGGCTCCAGACTCTTTAACAACTCTGAAGTTGCCTTTCTGACTTTTCCTTCAGAAAGCCAGTTATGTTTTGACTTGGAATGGAATTTTAAAGAGCTATACCATTTTTGTTGTTATATATAGCTCCTCTTACACCTGTTCACGATTATTTATCTTCATGAAATCAATCTCTGTGTAGTTTGAAATCACACTGAAATAACTTATGACATAAAAAGGGAGACTTAGAATCTCCTGGCAATGAAAATACTTGAGGCATTTCTACTTTATCCTACAGAAATAGCAACCATAACCCAGCAGCAAGGAGCATAATATATAGGATTTGTTAATGTGTCTGTCACTTCAGCCTAATCATCACTAGCTAGAAAGATAATGTTTGAAGATTAAAGATGTATCAACCCTTACTCTTACCCTTCCACCTCTACAGTCAACAGCTTGGAAATAATACAACATTTTTATCAACACAAAGTTATTGCTTTCACTGTAAATGTGTGTTGTGGTAGTTTATGCACTGACAAAAGCAAAACTCTAATTAAAAAAAAAAAAAGACACCCAAACCCCAAATCCTAAAACTTCCCAGCTGCCACTGTATGGTATTGTAACAACTTCAAACATACAGAGCTTTAGCAAAGAGGAACTCACCTCCCTTAAACTGATCTTAACAGGATAGACAATGTTTGATCCATCTCTCTTGAAATGAGAGTGAGGTTTATCCTTAATGATAAAAACAATATCGGCGGGAATCGTGTTGGGGGTTTCGTCGCCTTCTTTGGGGAAAGTGATTTTGGTGCCTTCTTTCCACCCTCTTTTTATCTCGATGGTGAGGATTTTGTCCTCTGTTCGGACACTTCTGCCGTCGGGGTTGAGCCTTTTGCGGGAGATCCTCATCCTCTTGGTGCAGCCGTGGTAAATCTCCTCCAGGGACACTTTGAGTTCGTGGATCACGGGCGGATCCTGTTTACGGCGGACCTGGCTGCCGACTGTATTCCTTTCCCTCGGGAAGCCGTTCATGCTGAAGGTGGTGAAGGATCCAAAGGGGTCACCGTCCACCTCCATGTCTTCAGTGTCTCTGCCACCGGGCATCCTCCTCCCAAAGAAGATCTCGAAGGGGTTTGTGCCACCGAAGAAAGCCGCAAACGTGGCGTGGGGGTCGCCGTGGAAGGAGTACCGGAAGGTACCGCCCTGTCCATCGGATCCTCCAGCTCCTCCTTTCAGACCTAGGAGGGACAAAGAAGCAAAGTTACAAACAAATTGAGTATTAGTATAAGCTTTGCTACTATAGAGTGTCATGATATCAGAACTGGTGAGTCAAAGAGATATTTACAGCAGAGCCAAAGGTCTGCTTTTCAGTGAGGACTCACCAGGAGAATGTGCAGTACCAACCACTAACTCAACAGCCTGAACAGCAACAAAGTTTCTGAAGCTCCAGAAGGACTTCAGAAGAACAGGTATCCTGACACTGCCAGGTTTATTCCACGTGATTGAAAATAGGTATTTTAACAAATTAGCAGAGGACAGGTCTGCTTGATTTGTTCTCTTCTAGTCCTGCAAAGTCTGTAGGGAACTGCAGCCTTCCACAAGATCACTTTGTGGGGAAAATCATGCACTCTCACATATGCAACATTTCCCACAGTCTCTACAGCTCAGCATTAATTCACTGTTAATTAGTTTTACCTCTGTTTGCCTGCAATGCATTGTCAGTAACAAAGCAGCTACAAATAAAATATCTTAGAACTATCAATGTCTCTGTGCAAAAAATAACAAGGTTCTCAATTAGCTTTGTTCTTTTTATTCCATCTTCCTCAAGGAAAGATCTACATCTTGTTCCTTCCTGCTAACACTTCCTTTACAATTCTCTCTGGACAGTCCCTTGTACTTCCTGTGTTCCCATTCCAAACCCAGCTAAAAATCAGCTAAAACTCAATTTTCTTCAATGCCTCTTTCCCAACAGACAATCAAGTATTTTATTTCCTTGTAACAGTGCTCTTCTGCTCTGACCCTTTCAGGATACTTTCTCAAACCTTTAAGATGAAAAGAGTGAAAGTCTCCTTAAGAACCTTGCTTGGTTTTTTGTATCCAAGTAAGACAAGAGAATGCCTTCCCATCTCAATACCAGATCAGATCAGGAGTACTCAGCAACATGGAATAAATCCTTCTGTCACAGCACTGGTAATGTCAGACAAGCAGACCAGGGGATTCAATCTGTGACAGCAGAAGGACACCTCCTGGAACAGCTGGCCAAGAAGGTACATCAAGTTCCTGGCTGTAAAAACACAGCCTTTCCTCCTTCCCACAAAACCCAGCCCTCTGCCTTTTCCCTTACAACTACTGATTGCACTCTCAGATGCAACTGCAGAGCTCAGAGAGCAGCTGAGGCATCAGGAGACACCTCCAGATTCACCACTCCAACAATTCCTACTTTGTACCTTTCCCCAAAGTGCCCTTCTTTGTAATGGTGACAAATTATTTCAGTGTCCTCCTGTGTAAGAGTAAACCATGGCCCTGAGTGAACAGCAACGAGCAGACAATTGCCACGAGGGAAGCCACTATTTCATGTGGAATTTCTGATACATTTATGGCAAGGGATGTTAATGACTTCCTCTGTTGCTCCATCGTAACACTGAAAGTCATGTTGGTCAAAAATAAAAAAAAAAGCCATCCTCTGCAGATAACCATTTTAGGATAAATATGACATTTCTGAGGCCTCATTCTCTTGGCATGTTATCACTGTTTACAATTAAAGCTAAAAAATTGGTCTGGTATTTCATGACATCAGCCAAATTCTTTCCTCTCCAGGCACAAAGCCAAGGACAACTACGGACTGGACACCTGGGCCTCTGCTCAGAAGGACTGCCTTGCCTAGATCAAGCAGATTGCCCCCTCAGGCAAAAATTTTAAAAAAGAACACATCTCTTTTGCATTTCATCTCAAAAGTGCAAGATAAGAGATCCAGAAAACTGGTTTTGAGTGACATGAACTTTTTCTGTTTGGTAACTTTTTGCCCGTTAAGAATTTGGGATTTATAAAATTTTAAAAAATAAATTAAAATAAGAAATTACAACTGTATCAGCATTAAAGCCCAGCAATGCATTTTACATTTTAAAAACTGACAAACCAAAACAAATACACTGCCTAAAAATCAACACATACCGTGTTTTCCTCTCTGTTTTGCCTCATTCAACATAATGGAAGCGACCGACCAGAGAAATACAAAAATACAGAGAAATACATACCTTCCTCCCCAAACTGATCATAAATGTCTCTCTTTTTGGGATCACTCAGCACTTCGTAAGCTTCTGCAACCTCCTTGAATTTTTCTTCTGCGTGGGGAGATTTGTTCTTGTCCGGATGCCATTTCAGGGCTTGTTTTCTGTAAGCCTTTTTGATATCCTCGTCAGAAGCCCCTTTCTCGATCCCCAGGATAGAATAATAATCTTTCCCCATCCTGAGCGGCGGAGGAGCTCAGATTTTCCCCTGCTACAAAGAAAGCAGCGTCCAGTGTCTTCTCGGCAAGGTGGAGACGCTGGAGGAGGAGGAAAAACAAGCGATGAGCCGCGGGATCCAAGCGGAGAGAAGCGCCGTAAATCAGCAAAGGCCGCGATCCATCCAGAACCGCGGGGCAGTTTCTCCAGCCCTGCCTCCCCCCCGGAGCTCCTTTATGAACGATCCCCGGGGCAGCCCCGGCCCTGCCCAGCGCCCTCCCCTGCGCTCGAAGCGTCTCGGCTCTTTCTAGAACCACCACTAATCCCGCACGTCACTTCCCCGGCCCGGCGGCTGCGCACAGGGAGATCCTGCCCCCAAACCCTCCCCAATCCCTCCCCACAAACCCTCCCACGCCCACGGGGGGAGGTTACAGCGGCCACGCCGCCTCCCACCCGCAGCCCCAGAGCTGCGGTGCCCACAGGCAGCCATTACAGCGCTCGACTCGCTGTGTGTACAGACACGGCGCCTTCCCAGCACGGCGGCTTCGGAGCCTCTCCGGCAGCGCAGGGAAGGTTTTACACCCAAATTAACCACAAACCTTCACAAAGTGTAACTTCCTTTGTTTAACAATTCAATCAAGCCACCCCCCCCCCCACCTGACTGCAGTCACGGACTACCGAGCAGCAAAAAAACCCCACTTTGTTTACCACAACCCAAACCACTACAGTTTTGCTGTGTTTTGATCTAACTCCCATCCCAGCCTTCTTCTACCGAAGAGGAAACATCAAGATTACTGGACAAGTACAGCAAATACCTTTCCCCTGATGAGGTGTTAATAACAGGAAAATACCTGGTTCTTGTGCATTTGTTTTTACTACTGAAGTATTTGTCATGCTCTGTAGGGAAAATACCATCAAGTTCTAACCTGCAAGATTGCTTCTGTATCTCTGCTAAAAGCTACAGGTCAAGAAATTATCCCCACTTATCAGGAGGGGAATAAACTTCAAGACTGATTGATAGAGCTGGAAAAATTACCCCTCCCTGGAACAAAGTATTAAAACACACCAGCCTTGGCCATCTCTAGAAGTTACCCATATGAAGACACTCCTAGGCTCAATTATGAAGTTATTACTACGAACTAAGGTCAACTGCCTGCCTTCTAACAATAAAACCCATTAATCCTCTGCCTCAGGGAGCATTGTATGTGAAGTTGTTTTCTAGAACCTGCTCTAACTTCAAAGGCACTGATCAGAAGAGACAGAAAGTGTCTCCTTAACCAGGGATTACTAGAAAAAGATTTGGAACTTTTCTTCCTCTTTTTAAACTTGTGTCATTCCCTGTAATCCTCACATCTTATCTGTTCTTTTCCAGTTTATGTAATAGTATTTGAGAAAGCAAAAACGTATGCAGATATTATTTCAAATGTAACAGAGGCCAAAGGGTACTGAAAGCAGGAATCAGCTCCCCTTGTCACCAAATCTCTCAGGGCTTGCATTTTTGGCACACTGGGAGCCACAAGGTTACAGAATCAATTAACTTTACAGCTGAGGGAGGAAGTTGTTGCTGAGTTCCACATGGAATAAAGCTCATCTTTTACTAAATCAACCTTCTCATCTTTATTTTCAAAGTCCTACTTTAGTTAATTTACAGGTTGTATTTCAGATAAAGCCTGTGAAACCCACACCTTAAAATCAATATTTTCTCCACTATGTAGTTCTGAAAGCAGTAGGCCACCAGCTGGAATTCCAAGAGGACTTGAGCAGATTCCATGTGAAGCACAGTCCCACTCCCTGGGGAGCTGCTTCACTTACAGCTTTTACTGAGCAGTTTTAACCTTTGGACAATATTATATTAAGCACATGTGTCTCCTTTTAAATATCAAAAGGATATTCAAGCAGTGCAATAAGCAGGCCTTAGTGAGCCATCCCCTCCCTCCCTTTGGTAAAACATTATTTAATTTCACAGGCTACATTAAAAGCCTCAATAACGAGGATTTCTCCTTAAATCAAAAAGTTTCTTCACCTTAATTTGCAACCCTTACAGAACAAATTCTGTACCACAGTTCCCTGGGGACTGTTTGCTGACAGTCACAGTGACTCAGTGTTCAGGCATCCTCTCCCTCCCTCTATTCTGGCCTAAGTGCTGAGTTATACCCTAATTATGTAAGATATTCCCTAAAAACTGAATTACTTAGGATTCTGAGTGGGATGTACAGCAGTGACTGCATCACTTCTACTTCCTGCCCTGCACGAGATCTTCATGTCAGAATGAATCTAGAGCCTGGAATCTCATCTCTTCTAAGAGTCAATGACATCTCCTTCCAGAAAGCATATTCTTTCTTTTTCTCCATATTGAGACCTTCCTTTTATCCTACAACCAGAGATCTTTTGGAAATACATGTAGGCTGCAGTTCCTCTCACATGCTTATTGAGTTCTTTAAACACTTTGTAATAGAGAGATATTACCCTCTTAGAAGTAGGGAAAACTTTTTTTTTAATATTAATTATTCTTAAAAGACTAGTGTGCACAAGATGGACATCTAGCAATCATGCTAATTACAATTACATCTGATCATACCAGCACTTCTTCAGACAGTGAAATCCATCTGCTAAGTGTGGTCAGTTTTAACATCTTCCAATCTTCTCTCATCAGAGCAGTTTCAAGGAAAGATAATAAATCAAAGATTTTCAGAACTCCAAATATCTGATATCTGCAATTCTTTACTGCTCATTTTGTTGTTTTATCCCATATTCCTCCTCAGGATTACTACCAAAAGCAAAGGAAAAGCCTTCGTGGACTCTCCTCAACAAGGACCTCTGGCACTGCAGTCCCTCCAAATAAGCAGAGGTGAACAGGAAACAAAACAGCCTTCAGAAAATACAAGTAAATATTCAGCTGTACTGCTACAGTCCTATCTTCCTTGTTACCACATACACCTAGAAAAAACTCTTCTAGACTGAGAAAAGATTTTGCTTCCCATATGCTGGAATACTTTTTGTTGAAATGCCTGAACAAGTGTCCCCCCCAAACCCAGGTAAAGTCATTACCTACTGTGCTATATGACCTTCTTTATAGGATTCTTTTGTTCTTTACAAGTCTCTACATTTCTACCTCGTTGTGTTCCTCTTTTCCAGCAGAACCTGGAAACCCCAGAGGGCATTCTGTCGGTAAGCCCTTGCATTTGAGTCCACCTCAAAACCAAAACAGATAAAAACTTTCCCCACCCAAAAGCTTCTCTCCTCAGTCTACTGTCTCTGACTGATATATCAATTATGACTCAACCATCTGTATCATCAGCTCTTTGATTACACAGCCTTCAAGCACAGCAGCTACATTTCATTCCAGCATACACAGAAAAAAGTTACCATCATCACTCCAGCATCAAGTGGTATCTGGGCAGCTTTTGCTTCTATTTGCTCAATTCTGTAAAACCATTTTCTGCCCAACTGGGCAGTCTCAGACCTGTCCTCCTGCTCTTTAGGGTAATGTTTTGGTACTCCTGTTATGCAGTGAGAAAGTCAACAGTCCAATGTTCATTTTTCCCTTTAAATTAAGGCATTTCTTCTGCATTCCTCCCCTCTCAAACCTCACGAACAGAACTGAGAACGACAGGACCAGATCACAGAACAAGCTGAAGAGCGAACAAAACCACAAAGGCAAATTCCAGACAGATCACAACTATAAATACCCATGAGCACGTAAATGTCAAGGCACGGGGAGCCAAATCCCTCCCCGGGAAAAGCTTTCACAATTAAGTATCATAATATTTGCAAACCCACACTAATGAATGGAATAAATGCGTATTTGTCTACAGTGGTTTGAGGAAAGCACACCCAGACACAATCATAAAGTGTCCTGAAAGATCATCCATTATTTTCCCACAGAAGAAAAGAAAAAAAAAAAAAGGCCAAACATTTTGACAATGGTTTATATCAAATGTTTATACTTTTTATACACTTTACACTAAGACCTTGGACATGCAAACCCCATTCATGAATTACTTTCACTACAGAACTATTCAGTAGCTGCTATCACATACAGAAATAAAGTTTTAGTTTTGCAACAATTAGGTTTTTTTTTTAATGTAGCTAACAGAAAATTCCCAGTGAAACCTGCAGAGCATAACAATGCTTTCTAATCAATGGCCCTGGAAGAAAAGCTTCGTTTATTCACACATCTCATGGGCCAGTTACTACCAAATTTATCAGATTCTTCCCCACTTGTCTGTGGGGACATCCTGCTAACTTTGGTGGAAGTAAAAAGGTAACTTTACATAAAGGATTCTGGGGCTGATTTTACACCTAAATAAATAATCAACAAAGAAAAGGAAATGCCACATAAAAACGTGCCATTAAATTAATAATATTTAGGTTACATCAGCCCCGTATTTTCAATTTCTTATTGGCACTATCTGTTTCAAAAAATGTTTATAATATTAAACATGCATTCCAGAGTCCACAGGAATTTACAGCTCAAGTTGAAGTGTTTAATCTCGAAAAGGCACACTGCTATCACCAGAGATATACTGTTACCACTTCTGAATCTTCCAAACGAAATTTTAAGCCTGTGATTCATGCAGCCTTCTATTTTATTTGGAAAAGTCTACATGACAAGACAGCAGGTGCTGTCAGCAGATTTTATGAAGTTAGTTTTATTTTTTTTAATTGCTTTTTGTAACAATACAGTCAGAAATGTTTGTACCAACAGTCAGAAACGCTCTGCACAAATGGAAATATCCACTTCACTTACACTTTCAAACTTACTATAGTTTGTTATATGTTAAGCTACAGGCTTGGGTTCTTCAGGAAATTATTATTCCCACTACATTTACGTAATGACCTATGCAGAAATCCATAAAATAATAGAAAATACCTGACTGCTGTGACTAAATCCCAATCTCTAGTACAGCTGAACAACAAGCAGACACTGGGAAGAACCTTCCACGTTACCTTTGCAGCACTGGGAGGGACCCAACAGCTTTCTGCAGGTCAGCCAGGATGAAAAACCAACTGAGCCCTCCTGGGAATGCCATCGACTGCTTAAATACCAGGTAGCACCAGAAACCCAAAGGAAACATCCCAAGTGTGGCCACACAAAGAG